CGAGCCGGGGGCGGCTGCAGAGCGCGCGCGCGGACCGGCCAGCCACCCGGCGTGGAACACCCCGGCCGGGGCGGTGCAGACGGCCGCGAAGCGCCCAAGCTTCCGTCTCCTCCTCTGCCCCCCCAAACCCCCTCTCTGTACCCCACTAACACACACCCCCCTCCAGGAGACAGCTTGACGGTGGCACTTGTTCTGCCGCGCTGCGCTCTTCCGCCCGGTGCGGGGAATAACAATGTGATCGCATTGCACGGACTAGATGCTAGTAGTAGGTTGTAACTGCTGAGGCCACCACCTGTCAATTCTAGGAGCAAGGCGCACGGTCCCCAGAAGGCTGGCCTTTCCCCGATTCCCTACCCGCTTCTTTTCCTCCCCCACCTACCTCGCCGACCTCCCGCAGTACTCTGCTGCACGATACTAAGGGAGTTTTGCAAAATAACCCTCACTCCCAGCCAGGAGCTCACGGCATCTCCCTTCCCACCAGAGCTGAAGGATTACGCACAGCCCTGCGTGCCTATCCAAAGCCGGATGCCGAAGATCCCGGTTTGAACCCCACACTCGCCGGCCCCCCCGCCCCCATTCATAATCCCAGCGGCCGTCTGCCACTACACACCCTCCCCCTGCCGCCCGCACTCGCTGCGATTCGCCGTCCCTGGAACGTGTCAGTCACTCTCTCTTCATCTGCCATGAATACAGTACTAGAAGCTCCGCAGCCACGGGTTGCACAAAAGGGGTTGGGGAGCGGAGCACTCGGAGCTTGCGGCGGGGGGGGGGGGGGGGGGAAGTCGGGGGGGAGGCAAGAGAGCAAGCGGGGCAAATTACATGGAAGGAGCCGGTGTGAGGGTGAGAACCCGCTGCTCTCCTGTTGCACAAAGGAGCTCCAGAGTGGATAAACACGGTGCTACTGAACCAGTGGGTCAGCTCACCTCCAAGAAGGCGCTCTGCCAAGGCACCCTAGGAGTGGGCCCCACAACTTGGGCACTTGTAATGACCTAGCAACAGGCACCCGGGAGCTTGACTACCCCAGCTTGACACAGCACAGTGGGGTGGGGGCCTGCCACTCGGGGGGAGGGAGGGGGGTAGGGGGAGCCAGATGTGGGAAAACACAGGTTTCCTTTTCCCCAGTTGTCCAGCTCTTTCAGTCAGAGAAAAAAAGAACTTTGGCGAGGAAAAGAGACAGAGATGCGGTAACTTTGCGTATGGAACTATTACAACTAGCTAGAAATCAGGAAGACTTTAATGGATAAAATTGGCCTATTTCCCAATTTATTCCAATAAACATTATGGCACACCCATTTTGCACTGAGCGCAATACACTGTGCCAGATGCTGGCATACAGACATGATCAGAGCCACAGTCTCTGCACCCAGGAAGCTCACCGCCTAGCGGGAGAAACTACTATGAAAGCCCAAAACGGACAAAACAAGTACACGGAAGCACATACCAATTACACTAGGGGAAGCAATTTTCTCTAGTTGGAATGGAAATGGGTCAGGGGATTTGATCCCTTCTGAACTGTATAAGAAAAGGCAAATAGGAGCTTGCCAAAGAAGTGACAGTAACCTTCTGTTATTCACCCATTAACCCAACCAGCTTCACATACCCACACAATGAACATCATACCTGAAAGCTTATCAATGTAGGGACTTAATGAACTCCTGCCCTGCACTGTTTCCCCTTGGTGGTTTTGGAGGAAACATTCTCAAATACCAGCGCTTGGAGTATAGAACACCAGTTCTCCAAAGCTGAAATGTTGCCTTCTTGGACCTGTTACTTTATGTTCTGTATCATCTACTTATCTGTTAGCTTGAAACTGAGCCCAAAGCTAAAATTAATAATAGTGAGGCAATGAGCATCTGGAAGGAAGCCCATAAATCCTGCAATGCAGTCATGGTTCTGTCACAGTCTTTGTCTCAAAAGTGGTGACAATATAATCTCTTTTTCCTGAACTACAGTGAGGATTAATTAGTCAGACTTATTAAACAGAAAAAGACCATTGACCAAATAGAGTGTGGGATGGGAACCTAAATTGTGATTCAACCTAGGAAAAAAAAGAATCAGTTTGAGTGGCATGCTCCCCTGTGAATATTAGAACTTTGAAAGGTATTAGTGATTACTAAAGTACCCAAGGCTACTACATCATCTTCAGAAAAACATGTCAAAGGGTTCTGGTTGCAAATAAGAATTAAATGGACTCCTGTATGAAGATGATGTCATCTGTTTAAACATGCTTCCCAATTCTCCCTAGAAAATATATAAACTAACAAAGAGAATGGGAAAAAAATGTTAAATGCCACTTTCAGCAAACTTATACAGATTTTACTGACAAACTCCAAACTACTTGTAAAGGTTGTTAAAGCAGCTGCATTTGGGCAGAAGTCATATGGAAAAGGCCCAGGAAGAGTCAAAGAGAACCAGCAGTAACGACTTCAGAAAGTACCAGAAAAAATATGTTTCCTGAAAGTAAGGGGCTTACCTTAAACTGCAAAAGTAGCTACATCTCTCAAAGAAATGGAGCAAGAGCAGAACAGGTAAGGCAGAAGAGTCACAGGGATAGGGAGAAGAGGCACAGAGAGTTTCCAGGGAACCCACTAGCATCAGATCAAAGGGGCAGCAAAACTATGATCCTTAAGGTCAAGGTGACCACTATGAGATGTAGAAGACCTATTCCTTGTCTTTAAGAACCGGGGAGCACAGGACTGTTGGCAGACGATCCCCTGAACCAAATTTACTTTAGAGACTTAGAGGGAATGAGTCTACAGAAAAGCCATAATTATTGGAAGCAGACTGTTTTTGAGGCAGCAATAAAAGTGAATCTGCAATCTTTATTGCCACATGACAAACCACCCAAAGCAATGGCTTAAGAGCTACCAATTATTTGCCTACAATTGAATGAAGTCACAAATTGGGATGGGCTCAACTGGGTTGGCTGACTTCTGCTTCATGTGTTATCTCACTCAGCAGGTCTCACTCATGTATTTGGGCCTCAGAAGGGAGGCTTGGCGTGTATTTCCAGGCAGCTAGCTCAGGCTTTTCATGTGGAGTTGGAATAGTTCCAAGTAGCAAGAGAGAGGGCAGGCTCCAATATTCACACTCCTTTTAAGTTTTTGCCCATATCATGTTTGCTAATGTCCCATTGGTTAGAGTAAGTCATATAGCTGAGACTAGAGTCAATGTGGGGGGGGGGAGCTACATAAGAGCATGGGTGTGGGGAAGTGTCAAATGTTGGGTCATTAATATAACAATCTGCGACAGAAAGTAAGCTTTTTGATTGAGAGAACAGGAAAACTACCTTGAATCCTCCATTTCAGGAGCTTTCTACAAAGACCAGCCAGAAATATACAATTCATTCTGGAGTGAGTAGTGATAAAGAAGAAACTGGCAGAGAAAGGATATGAAGATACTATAAGAAAGATTCTGGAAAGGAGCATCAACATCACCAAAAGATGTGGGGAAAAAAATTTGCCACAGAGCCAGTGAAAATTGTGACTATACATAGTGTTTCTCCAGCATCTGTGCTCTTATTCATTAAGCTATACTGACTCCCTAATGAAATATATTCCGCATTATGTTAATGAAACAATATAATCTATTATGCAATGTGACAAAGCACAAATGAAAAAACTCAAGAAAGAGATGAGGATGAAGTGAGCTGATATAAATCAGATATGAAGAAGAAAAAAGGACCAAACCAGAAACAGAAATGAGGACAATATTGGAAGAAACACAGAAGGGAATAAGCACTGTGGATGAGTAAGAGACAGCAAAGACATATATAAGAATAATGGTCAAAATTAAGTGAAAATAAAGAGAAGTATATTTTTAAGCATTGTGTAAAAATGGTAACAATAGATGAAATACGATGCAGAGCCAACATACCTATAATTGGAGTCTTTGCAGAAGAAAACCTTAGCAGCGGGACAGAGCAAATACTTTCTAACAAAATTATAAAAGAACTTTCCTGAAATTAAAACAAAAGTCTTGAATCTCCATATTGAAAGGAAACACCATGTAAGAAAGTTGATTCATAATGGTTAAGCAAAGACATATGCTAACAAATTATTGAAATTTATTTATTTTGTTTTATTTTAAATTCAATTAATTAGTATATAATGTATTATTAGTTTCAGAGGTAGAGGTCACTGATTCATCAGTCTTATGTAATACCCAGTGCTCATTACATCATCCACCCTCCTTAATGTCCATCACCCAGTTACCCCAACCCCCCACCCACCTCCCCTTCTACAACCCTCAGTTTGTTTTCTATGATTAAGAGTCTCTTATAGTTTGTCTCCCTCTCTGATTTTGTCTTGTTTCATTTTTCTTCTCTAAAAAAAGAATCTTTGAAGCAGAAAAGCAAAAGATCAAGTCTTGTATAAGGAAAAAATAAGTCAACCTCACTTCAGTCTTCTCCGAAGCAAAGTCAATGGAAAAAAACATGAGCTTCTCAAGGCAAGGAAGTATGATCTAAGTATTTTATATCTAGCCAAGTTGTTTATCAAGTATAAAGACCATGTGTTTAAAACATTAAAAATCAAAGACTATTCTTTCTTTCTGAGGAATCTTAAATGTGAGGAAGCTTTCTTAAAAAGACTCATGGTGAACAACGAATATACTTGTATTCTAAAATTTAGACCATTAAAAATGTATGAATGTTATAGACTTTGAAAGTGTAGGGCTGACATAAGTCACAAATATTCAGAAGGAAAAGGAAAAAGATCGTGGTAATCGGAACAAATCCACTGATTGACTTATCTATAACTGCTGAGGTTAAAAATGTCATTTAAAGCTGACAT